AATATCTTACCATATTTTACAAAATAAATGTTATAAATTTGAACAATCTTTAAAACCTTTTCCGATAACCTGTATATTTTTTTATAGTTTACTTATATCTAAATTCTTAATTTAGAAACAATTCTATCAACTAAAATATCACAAGATACAACAAAATTCTAAGCAGTACGTCAAAGAAAATGACATATCTTATCATGATATATCTTAATAAAAATGTAATTTATGAGCATTTCAATGTATTTAACAAGAAGAACCAAATTGAAAAGAATTTTAAATAACTCTAAAATATTTTTCTATATTCTTCTCCAAAAACGCATAGTCATGGATTAATTAAATTATTAACTCTCCCTAAATTTTCGTGTTTTCACCGCTTAAATTATAGCTATCCCAGAAACCATTTTAAAACCAATGCCCCCATTGAGCTGTCATTAATTTCCAGGCCAGCATAAATATGCATGGGGTATATCTGGTGTACTTATTTTGGTATGCACGGGCTATATTGTGGTTCCATGGGCTGCACATTTTGGTATAGCAATTTGTGTCTTAATTAATGTCCCAATCAAGAGACCGCCAAAATCAGAAATGAGACCCACGACTGGCCGCGAGCTCCGAAATCTCCATTTTGGGCAACGAACCCACAACAGCGACTGCTTCCATATGTATTTATGCATATGTATATGGGATATGGGTATATCTGGAATGGAGTGGAATGGTTGGATGCGGTTGAGGATGGGGATGCAGCGGCGATAAACTCGTTTCGGTGCAGGGCACTAAATTAGTTGGCTGGTCTTCCCCCAACCCCGACTGCAGTTCCACAAAGACTTTTCAATACAATTTGGTTTGGTTCGTTCTTAATTTCGATGGAGTAAATTTTATTGCCCTTCGAAGCAGACAGAGAGGGGGAGGATTGAAGGGATGGGGCCCTGACCAGGTAGCCCCGCTAAGTAGTCGCCATTGCAGTGGAGTTGGGATCGAAAAATCCTCTGCACAGGAAAAAGTTGTTAAATATATTAAAAAGAAATTGAAATCAACAATGTACTTTAACTGGCAATCAAGTAAATCTAATATATTTCTTTATAAAATTTAATAGATCGTTAATAAAAGATGATTTTAAAAAACGATATATAATTGTTCATAGAAATACATCAGTCTTGGATACCAAGTGATTTAAATAATTTGGGGAAATTTAAGCTTTCTGCTCAAATACGTATTTCACAACCCTTGAGAAATTAAAAGCTATCCTTCACATCAAATATATTAAAAGCAGCTACAAATATTTTTAAATTTAAAAATTCTTCTACCCATTAAATTGAAAAATAAAATAAAAACATTGTCTTATTTTGGGATATGTTCGTAAACCCTGTATCAAATGAATATATCATTGTGAAAAGTAAAAGAATATCATTTATATACCCCTAATTTGATGGGGAATATGATCCTAAATTTCTACAAAGATGATCTTAAGTAGTTCCACTTTATTTCCTCTCAGTGTGGACTTGCAGTCTGTCGTCTTCGGCTGGAGCCCAGTTAATTTGGTCATCTTCCATGATGTTTTGATAATGTGGCTGGAGTTGCGGACCCAATCTCCAGTCGTGGTCCTCCGCTGCAGTTGTCCCCTTCCACTTTTGGGTTCTTTTTTTATTTCGTTCGCTGCTGGGTTGCGCACGAAATTCTTGTCGCTGCGAATAATTACATAAATCAGTGGTTTTTAAAGCGTTTCGAGTTTCCAACTGTCAATACTGCCGAACAGTATTTAAGGCTGAAGGAAAGGCAAGCGGTAAGCACATCTTTTGTCAAGCGTTTCGAGCGCTGATTGCCGGGGATTAAAATCAGCTAAGATATTAACACCTCAGGTTACCGGCGGTGCCCACAACAAAATGTTATGTTTATGCTTCCGAAAGATTTCTTGGTAAAACAGCTTCGCACCTCCGTTAAAAAAAAGGGTCTCTTAATGCCTGCCAATCTGTCAGCAATTCAAATTTTAGCACAAGTAACAAAAGAAATGATTTATGCTGTTGCCTGATTGATTTTAGGGCATAAATTGGATGGGCGAAATGAAGAAGAACCGCTCGTAAAAGACCGCCTTTGAGAGATCTCCGACGATCCGACAGTTGCGGTGAGTTTTTGATGCGCTTTCAAAATGCAGATTGTTCCGTTTTCTGCCCATTTAATTTGTATGATTATGGCCTGTCACAGCCAACGAAGCATGGTTCGAACGGAACGGTAAACGCAAGCCAATGGCCAGGCTCAAAAGCTTGTGGTCAGCATGGGTTAAAGATGAGGATTGGTCGGATCGGATCAGCTCAGTCAGCTGTCGATGGAATGTGTCAGGCACCCAGCTTCTTGGCCATCAGAAAACTGACTACCCTTGTATGTATTACATAATGGTACTTACAATAATTAAATAAGGCAATATTATTATTTTCAAAAGTTTAACTCTCAAAAACATAAAACATTTTTATTTTGGGTACCGAAAAGGGTATGTAATAGAATAATGTCAAACAATTAGACCTCTTAAAGAGGTAAAAAGCTAGTGACGATTCTGATATTAACTTTTGTGACGAAAATTTATTATACCATCCACTAAATAAATGCACGAATGAGAAAAATGTAGTTGATTCTATGATTTGATTTTGGTGATTCTATGAAACGATGATACAATGATTTTTTGATTCTATGATTTGGTGATTTGGTGATTCGATGATTTTATGATTTGGGGATTCGATGATTTGATGATTCGATGATTTGGTGATTCGATATTTTATAATTTGGTGATTCGATGATTTTATGATTTGATGATTCGTTGAATCGGTGATTCGATGATTCTATGATTTGGTGATTTTATGATTTTATGATTTGATGATTCGATGATTTTATGATTTGGCGGTTCGATGATTTTATGATTCGATGATTTGGTGATTTTATGATTTTATGATTTGGTGATTCGATGATTTTATGATTTGGTGATTCGATGATTTTATGATTTGGTGATTCGATGATTTTATAATTTGATGATTCTATGATTTGGTGATTCGATGATTTTATGATTCGATGATTTTATGATTCGATGATTTATGATTTGGTGATTCGATGATTTTATGATTTGCTGATTCGATGATTTTATGACTTGGTGATTAGATGATTTGATGATTCGATGATTTGCTGATTCGATGATTTGCTGATTCGATGATTTTATGATTTGGCGATTCGATGATTTTATGATTTGATGATTCGTTGAATCGCTGATTCTATGATTTGGTGATTCGATGATTTTATGATTCGATGATTTGGTGATTCGATAATTTTATGATTTGGTGATTCGATGATTTAATGATTTTATGATTCGATGATTTGCTGATTCGATGATTTGGTGATTCGATGATTTGTTGATTCGATGATTTTGTGATTTGATGATTCGTTGAATCGGTGATTCAATGACTCTATGATTTGTTGATTCGGTGATTCGTTGATTCTATGATTTGGTGATTCGATGATTCGTTGAATCGGTGATTTGATGATTCTATGATTTAGTGATTCGATGATTTTATGATATGATGATTCGATGATTGGAACATTTGGTGATTTGGACACCGCCAAACAAAATGAAATGTTTAAAATAAATCGCCACTAAAATGAAAAAATATTTTCAAGATTCCAGCCTCTTTCCCAATAAAAAGCATTGTTCTTTTGTAAGTTTTATATGATTTACTTATATTTTCCTTGTGCACAAATGTCGAAAATGTCCCACCAAAATGTATGAATTTTTTTGTAATTTTTCAGTATCGTTTTGTTTTAGCATATGTGGTTATAGCTGGCGGCTATCCCCTCACAATCATAATATGGATGCTTGGTTATCGAGTATATCCATCGTTTAATATTTATTAATGAGTAAGTTACGTTCTCATATGCGTAAGTTGGGTACATATAATTTTAAAATATATATATATATATTTCTGTTATATCTGTTGTATCACCACGAACACACACATAAATACAAATCAAGATTCCATTATGTATGCAGTTATTGTTATGGCGGGGATCTTCCAGAATCGTGTCCCCATCGATTTTAGATTTTGGACAAACGCTGTTTGCCGTTCAATTATTGCATAGTGAAGTGACACAACTGTATGAATGCCAATAACATGCTCGTACCGGATCGGTAATGCGGAAAGGGGTATTGAACTGGGAGCTTATGCCCTAATGCGATCTATATCTTATATACAATGTACATGCATGGGTTCAGGGGGCTTTCGCTTCCTATTTACACAAGCAACTCATTGCGAATGCATCTCTCTCTCTGTCTGGTAAACCCGGATCCAAATTATATACCTAATATTGAGCTCTTTACAAACTATAATGGCTGTGCTAAAAAATACATGCTCTCGCTGAACTAATCCTGTGCTCGGCTGGTTATCTGTTATCTGTGAGTTGTAGGTAGGTAGTTCTGGTCTGGTGTTCTAAATTATTATCGTCTTGTTGCAAAAACTATTGACTGGCCGCCTTCGCTCATGCTAAAATCCTTCATCGCCTCTGTTTCTGTTTCTGTATCAATTTCATTCAATTATTGTGCTGCACTGCAAATGAGTTTCGTTTCGATTTATTCAAAAATGTAGTTCGTGTAAATATCATTGCTTTGCTAATTGTTATTCTGTGTATATATAGTAATGTAACATTTGTATTTTCCCCCCAACAATTTCACCCTTTATATAGGCTAATCTGTATTGCTTGCATCAGCTTGAATTTTGTATACCTCATATATACAGCTAAAATTTCAGATGCTCGCCGGATCCTAATGCCTCTAATACTGTCCTGGAGTTGCGCTTAGATCCCGCTAGGATATGTCCACCTCACTTCACTTCACTCCCTTCTCTTCTTTTCATTTCGATTAGTTAGTTTAATTTTATTTTCAATTTCGATTTGATTTCGAGTTGTATTTGCGATTTGCCAAAAATTACGATTCAAAGTACCAACTACAGTGTGGAAAATTTACACGGAATAAATAATTTAATACATTTAATTTTAATTTGCTTTCATTTACATTTACAAATCATCCTCGCACCGCCGTTTTTGAGTATAATTGTTCGCATTTTTGCCTGGGCAATTGTTAGCTCTAGTTAGTTTACGTTTAAATACAGATGTCGGAGTTGCTATAAGTACAAAATACACTTTAAAACTTAAATGAGCGCTTCGTTGGTGCTTAAAGAATAATTGTTTAAAATTAGGGTTAGAATTAGAATTGTAGAAAACAAAGCGACGCAGCTTTGTGCACAAAATACTGTTCAAACGATGGATCGATCGATCGATCGGATCAGATCTAATCGGTTCGGAAATTGGTAGACAGTTTTTGTACGTGTTCATTTGTCATTTGTCAGCGTTCATCCTGTCCGGGCGCCTACTGTAGATGGCTTCTTATTCGATACGATCTCTAACTGCTAATCTATGTCGGCTAATAGTTATTGTTTATACTGCTGTTGCTGCCGCCCTCGGATGCTTAACAAACTAAATACAATTTCGTTCACTTGCATGCTGGTTGTTCGCCTTGGCTGGTGATTTATTTTGAATCAAAGCTACCTCTTTCAAAGGTCTTGACCGACGTAGGACGTTGAATACTCTCGCGTGTGTGTGTGTGTGTTTATATATCTACTATATATAAATATATTTTAATGTGTGTATGCTGCGCTTCTAGACTATAACTAACCGTCTCTATCCCCTATTTATGTACAATCTTTGCTTAACCTACTCTAATCTCTTGACCAAAATTGTGCTGCTTCAGTTAATGCTGTTGTCGTCTCCACGGCTCCCTCCTCCTCCTCTTGCGACGTGGCAATTAGGGTGACCATCTCAATGGGATGTGTGGCAGTGCCGGCCAAGATGTTGGGGGTGGTGATGCTGATGCTGTTCGTGGTAGCCATCTGGATCTGCGGCTGGCCGGTGGTACAGGATCAGGAGTGCTTGTCGGTCAGCTCGCCCCAGCGTGACTCAAAGAACTTGCGCATGCCATGCCCTGCCTTGCCTACAGGCGAATCATCCTCGTTGAACATCTCACAGTTGTCGAAGATCTGACGCACATCCACGCAAAAGTCCTCACGGGCTTTGTAGCTATTGGAAAAAAAGATCAGTTAGTGATCATTTCATTATAGAAGATTTTTAGCTTCTTTACTAACCTCAAATCCAACAGTTTCTTCTTGATCGTGGACAAGTCCATGGGAATTTTGATTATTTTTCGATATGTTGGAAACTGCTTGGTATTCACTGGCAATAGAAATGGCCAAGAGTCCTCATGGAGCTGGAAGAATTAGACAAAATATATTATTTGAATACTTTTTCTTTAAAGAGGTTGTTTAATGCCCACCTCCATTTCCCCCAATAGCGTCTTGCAGACGGCCAGCTCCTTCATGAGCTTCTTGGTGGCGTGCTTCTCCTTCTTCTCCTGCTTCAGCTTCTCCTTGGCCTCCTGAATGGCATGTATGTTGATGGGCGGTGGCGACATTTGGTTGGTTCCTGTTCCCGTTCCCACTCCAATGGCTGGTGGCGAGGGCATGGTCATCAGCTGCTGCTGCTGCTGCTGCTGTTGGGGCGGCGACTGGCAGGCGGTTACATGGAGGGCGGTGGCTGTGGGCGAGGCCTGCATGAGCAGCGGTGTCGGCGGCGGTGGTGGTGGTGGCGGAGTGGGCGCTGGCGTCGGTGTGGGCGTTCGGGTGCGTGTGGGCGTGACAGCCCGTGGCGACATGGCGACCACGTTGGCATACGGCATCGTTGCTGGTGGTGCCACTGGCGCTGGGCTAATCAATCCAGCCGAGAAGTTGCCAGCCACAACTGGCGGATAGACCGGATAACTGCTGGGCATCACACTGCCACTGCCACCGACCGCCGCCACATCTTCCAGCAGAGCCGCAGTACCATTATTGGGCGGAGGGATGAGATGCGCTTGGAAGCGACTGCTGCTGTCGACCGAGTTGTTGGCATGATGCTGGTCATCGTAGGCCGTAGCCGAGGCCACCGAGTGCGCCGGACTGCAGAGAGCAGAGGCATTATAAACTGGAACCTGGACCGTGTACTCCGCCGCCCCCTCAGCCGCCCGCAGGCCCCCACACTCACCTCAGAGGCGCCGCCGTCAGCGAATTCATCGACTCATCGTGCGACGAGTTCAGCGACGGCGGCTGCTGATGATGATGATGGTGGGGATCCCCGCCTGCCAGTGGCTGCATCTGCTGCTGGATTTGCTGCTGGATCTGCTGCTGTTGCATATGATCCATGGCCGGTGTCTTGCTGTTGTCACTTCGCCGCTTGGCCGATCCGCCCGAGTCCCGATCCCTGTCCCTCCGCGACTTACTGCTGCTGCTGGCCGTTCCGCCGGCACTGCGTTTCTTGGGCGGAGGTGCTCGTGAGATGCAGCCGTGGCAGTACCACTTGCCACGCGGCACCTTCAGCAGCGGTGGTATGTAGCAATCGGCGTGGTAAGCCCGCGGGCACAAGTCACAGTAGATCATCTTGCCCACGGGCGAGGGACGATGACCACCGCACACGATGCACTTGCGCTCATTGGTGGCCTTGTTCACGCACTCGTAGCAATACCTGAAAGCAGAGAAGGGATACCAAGTTACTCACTATAGTTAGATCTAGGGTTCTAGGGTTTTTTTGGGAACAGAGAGTAACAGTGCCACAGTTTCTCAACGGTTAACGATCAACGATCAACAAGACAACGCGGATTAATGTGTTTTTTTCTTAATTTTTATTTTGTAATCTATGACAGTGACATGTGAGGAATGAGAGGATGTATAGAGAGAGATAGAGAGGAGTGGTTCCAGGTACTCACCAATCGCCATCGGGAATGTTGTCCATCTTGGGCTTGAAGCAGTAGGTGTGATAGCCCTTGTCGCAGCCGTCGCACAGTAGCAACTTATCCTCATTCTCGCCGGACGTGCAGAACTGGCAATTCTGTAAGGAATTGGAATATTTGCTAGAGTTTGTATTGTTGGCCGAGCGTCTGCGTTTGCCGCCACTCTTCTTCTTCGTCCGTGTGCCAAAGTCCGAGTCGGAGTCGCTAGTGTTTGGATTGGAGGATGGGGATGGGGTGGGGGTTTTGGATTGGGATTGGAACTTGGACATGGTTTGGATAGGATTGTTGTTTTGGGTTTGCTGCTGCTGCGAACTCTGCCCATTTTGCGCCAGAGCCTTCAGGTTGATTTTTATGCTCAGTGGAGCTTTCTTCTCTGGCTTTTTGCTTGGGGTATCCTTCTTTTTTCCATTGGTGGTGGCAATGGTCAACTGCTGCTCCTTCTGCTTTTTCTTTTGCTGTTGTTTTTTCGTTGGTGTTGCCTGCTTTTTGGCGCTGCTCTTCTTCTTGCTGGACTTGTTTTTTGTTGCATACTTTTCGGATGGCAGTTCGAAACGGTTCGTTTTGAAGAGGGGATGGTGGGAAGACAGTCGTGGTGGTTTTGGTGGGTTTTATTTTGTAGGGGGTTTAACGGTTATCGGTAAACGGGCAAAAAGCATTCAAATGTATGTGTATGTGATTCGTGGGTTATGTACGTGTGTGTGTGTGTATGTGTGTGTGAGTATGAAAGCGTTAAATTTATATTTTTGTTTTGTTTTTTAAAGTACACCATGAAACACCACAAGCAACAAACAAGTCAAACATTCAGCAAGAGACAGTTAAGAAAGACAAATAAAATCGGAAGGAGAAACAAAATAAAATTTGAATTAATTTCACAGGCAATTTCAATTTTTCGGTTGTATTCAGAAAGGTTTTAGGAACTACTTAGCTACAATTCGAAAACAAGAAATACAATTGAGTGTGATCATGGATGCTTTTTTAAAGTAAATGTGCACTTTAGTAAGTATTTTAAAAATAAAATACAAAAGTAAGGGAAATCAAGACATTTTTTGAGAACTTCTACTTTTATATAAGTTTATAAAAATCATTGCTTCAGCCATATATAAAATAAAAAAACATACTTAATTAAAAAAAGTTTATCAAGATCGTTTAGATATATTTTTTTGTAATTAAAGAAATCATAATTTAAAAACAAAAAAACAACCATGATCTCAGCTCTATAACTCCTTCGTTTCATTTGTGGTGAATACGGTTAGTGTGTTAAAACTCAGATGGTTATGCAATGCGTGTGGGTACAAATATGTAGGAGTGTGAGTGGAGGGTGTTAGTGTGTGTGCAGCCAAAACAACAATGAGATGGACCACAAAAAAAGTCGGGTGCCAAGCTGTTTTCTTTTTTTTTTTGGGGGATTGGGTTTCAAAGGTTGCCAAAGCCCTCCTGATCTTACCGCTTTCATAATGCTCTTGTCCCAGGCCACGCAGGATTCCAGGACGTACAGGGCCATCGCCAGCTGGGCGGTGGTGTGCGATCGGGACACTGCATCGCGCCACTGCACCAATCCCTTGGGGATGTGCTCCACCTTCTCATCCCGATCGCTGTCGCAGTTGCTGGCCGGCGAGGCATTGCCGGAATTAGGTTCCCCGCTGCCCGATTCACAGGGGGTTACTCCGCCTCCGGTTGCCGAGTTCCCGGCTCCAGCTGCGTTGTTTCCTGTTCCCGAAGCGGCTGCTGCCGCCGCCAAAGCCATGGTGCGCTCATTGAAGGATGAGGCATTAACGCTATTGCCTGTTCCCGATCCTTGTTGCTGCTGCTGTTGGGCCAATTGTTGCTGCTGTTGCTGTTGCATCTGCAGGAGATATGCTGCCGCCGATGCGGAATTCTGTGTCTGGGTGCTGGTATGCTGGTTCTGGGCAATCACCGCCAAATGGGCATCGCCAGTCTGCGAGCCCAAGGGGGGCTTCAGATAGCGCCTCTCGATATTCGCCTCCAAATCAATAATTCTCTCCCGGATCATGGGTATAATGCTGACGAAATCCTCTTCGGTGACATCCTCCTGCGAGTCCAGGGTGAGTTCACTCTCCACGCGATTGGGCAATTGCCAGTTCTTCAATTGCATCGAAGCACTGGCCACCTTGTCCTCCAGGGATTCCAGTTGCTCAATGAGGGCAAGTTCCACGCGCTTGGCCACCTTGGGATTCCAATCGCCCTTCTTGTCGGGCATAAGGAACTCCTCCGGAAACTCTACATCCGATTTGAGCTGATAATTCACACCCAATGGCTGTTCTAGTCCGAGGAAACGCTGGAGATTCTCCTGCAATTCCCGCTCCCTCAGGCCAGAGGGATTAAGGGTTTTGAGCAACTGGCGCAACTTCTGCTCATCGTCCAACTGCCACCAGCCGTAGCGCTGTCTGCGAGGCACATAAACGCCATGGACTCGTTCCGGGAAACCCGCCAGCTTGACCTGCTCCAGCAGACGATGCTCATCGGGGGTCATGGAGAGCGGCAGCGGTATGTCGATGGGTATATACGTTTGCACACTGCTCAGTGACATGTTGGCTATATTGTGGTAATATGCCTGCGATAGCGCCTCATCCAAACGCAGCTCAATCTTGGGCTTCACATCGGCTCCCCCCTCGTTTGTCCCTCCTCCCGTATCCGGGGGCGCATCAGAGCGCAAGCGAAAAAACTTGTCCTTGCCAGCGAGTTCGTCTGCATCCGTTTCCATTTCGGTGTCGAAATTTTTATCCAACCTCAGCTTGGCCTGCTCCTCATCATCTTCAGTCTCGTGGTGGCGATGAGGAGAGCCCAGACCGTTTTTTGACTCCACCTTGTGGGCCTTGTACTCCTCCACCTTGGCCAGCATTTGCTTTTCATCCAAGCCACTTAGCGAGAAGATGCACTCGTTGCCCAGTTTGCTGGTATCCACCTTGCACTCATCCATAGGGATCGAGTAGTACTGCATGTTGTTGATCAGATCCCAGGGATGACCCTGCAGCTGCAGCTGGGCGGAGCAGTTCTGATTGGCAAAACTGATCTGCAGTTCCTGGCCCACCACGCCGCCCTCCTCCGCTGGAAGCTCACTGATCAGCGGAACTTCCCGACGGACAATGGAGAACCACTTGGGCGTATCGTCAGCACTGGATGTGGAGACTATAATGCAGTCATCCTCCTTCTTCATATCCTCCATCTTGATCACAGCCTGTCCAAAGTTCTGCTGCTGCTGCTGCTGCTGTCCCAGATTCAAGCCCGTTTCCAACTTATCACAGTTGTCGCTTCCGTTGTTGTTGTTATTGTTATTGCTGTTGTTGTTGTTGTTGAGGGTAGGCGGCATTAATATGCCAGGCATTGCGGGTATCTTAATTTCGGCCTCAAAGTCTGTCTTGGTGGATATCATCGTCGTGGGCGGCGGTCCCATTAGCTCCATCTCCGACTTAACCTTGATCTCTGGTCTAGGAGGTTCTATTTTGGGCAGTGGCGGAGCTGCATCATCATCATCATCGCCCAGGTCAACAATTTCCGGTTCAACCTTGTTGATTTCTGTCACATCATCATCGTCATCTTCCTCTTCTTGATGGGAATTCGGCTGATTAGTTTCAGAAAGCTCCGCATTCTGAGCTGGAGCTCCGTCCTCCAGTTGCGTGAGAGATTCATCCACCTCCATGGGTTGTTCGGCGGACTCCGCTTCGGTTTTCTCCTTCTCCGCGTTTTCCTTCTCGCCAGCTGCATCCTTCTTGTCATCCATGCCCTCCAATGCCTCATGATAGCCGCATATATCATTCTGGGCCGACTCAAGAGCTTCAATGAAAATGCCACCCGCCTTGGGCAACTTCCAGTAGCGACGCCAGAAGCGATCCTGTCCAAAGCAGGCCGCTCTCAGCTGATTGGTGCTCTTCTCCAGCGCCTCCTTGCAGTTAAGTGAAGCCCTCACAATCTTGTCCAGCTTCTTCTGCAACTCATCGGCACTCAGGCGATTGTCCTCGTCTTCCTCGACGTTCGTGATCTCCGAATCTAAATCGGAGAGATCATCGTCGATTATGCTAACATCATGGTGGTGTTCATCGTTAATGGAGTTACGTGCTCCGCTCTTCTTGGCCTGCATCAGGGCACTCACGTCGGATCCAGTGGTGGCACTTGTTGTGGGTGTACTGGATCCATTTATTTGATAGGTGGGCGTGGCCATGTCTTGTTTGTTGGGCGTAAGAGTGTTGTCCGCTTGGATGATGCTTTTGGCTGGGCTCACAAGCGATTCCTCATTGACCACGCCATCCACATCCATGGGCTGCTGCTGGGGCTCCTTGGTGACCGCCTGTTCGTCCTGATCCTCCTCTTTCGGCTTCTCGCCATTGGGTGAGCCACCTTTGCTTGCCTCTTCCTCTGTTTCGGCAGCATCTGCTGCTTCCTCTGCTGCCGCAGCCTTGGCTTCCTCCTCCGCCTTCAGACGCTCTGCATCCAGCTTCTGCTGCGCCATCAGTGCCTGCATTGCCGCCTCGCGCTCTGCTTGAGCTCGTTCATAGGCCTCAATTCGAGCCTTGCGCATATGGAGTGCCTTGTACTTGCGCACCTTCATGTCCGTCATGTACTTTTCCTTGCGCATCTGAGCGCAAGTCTCCAGGCTGCCATCAATCTGGCGGAGCACCGCCTTGTTCATCAGCAGATCATTGCAGAGGTGGGCTAACATCTGTGCCTTACGGGTGGGATTCAGTGCCACGAAGGGGCGATCCTTCAGCGAATGCGATAGCTTCCAGGTGTCGTTCTCGTGGAGGAGCTTATAATACTCCTGGTTCTTGGCCGAATGGGAGTGAGTGGCGGTATCGGTATCCACTTGATGATGATCGGGCACTCTCCTTTCTCGCTCGCGATCCACAGTGATGCCATGCATCTGGCGTACCTCACCCGTGGCCGTGGCATACAGGTAGATCCTCAGGATCTCGGACACATTCGAGTTGGTTATGTCCGCGTTGCGAAGCGATTGTCCCAGCAAAGTGGTGTGTCTGCCGGGATTGGGTACACCCGGATCCTCAATGGCACAAACCAATAGATGCGTCATCACCGACAATAATTCCTCCTCAGCATCTGCGCTGCTATCGCTAATCAAAGCATCGTGTAAGTTCTGGAGCGTTGGCAGTGATTCCATGTCAAAGCCCAGAGTCTCGCCGAAATTGTGCAGGAATTCGAAGACCATTAGCAGATCGGCCATTGCCTGGCCGGGAAGACGGTTGCCCGCAATCCTGTCTAGCTCTGGGATTACCAACTCCTGTGGCAGCTCAGAGTCCTCGTTGGGGCGCCTTATTAACTGCAGGATCTCTGCATCTCGTTTCCGCTCCGCCATGCGACGCTCACGGAGAAGTAGACGGTCCAGCACCAGCTGGTGCTTTTTCTTCTCGCGATCCTCGAATTTGCGACGCACCTCTAGCATTCGGATGAGGCTCATGTGCTGGCGACGACGCTCCCGTTCCTTTTCGGAGAAGAAAACGAAATTTAATTAATTTAATAATTTAATTTCCCTAAATCCTAGTTCTCTTACCATTTCGGCAGCCAACAACATCTCTTTCTGTTTTTGCAGCTCCTAAGTTATACAAATAAAACAAATAGGTTAATACAATTAAAGGGATAAACTGATACTGAGATGGCAATGTTGGGCTTTGATGACTACGAACATAACTAAAAGAATCTTAGAAGCCCTAAAACTAAATGGTATAGTTAAGCCGAAACAAAAACCATAATATCTGTGAGATTCATCAATTAGATATAAAAATTTAGAATACAACTTATTCAACAGCCCAAATCACCAACCTTGTATCAGTACATTAAGTTTGATTTTCAAGTATCTTTATAATATTAAAGGTTAGTTAAACTAAAACCAATTAGTTCAAAAAAAAATTAGATAAAACCCTTGGAAAATCTTCAGCCCCAATTTCAAACGGATATGGAACGGATTAGGATCTAGGACAAGACAGAAGGTAAGAAGGTAAGGCATTGTGTACCTGTTCCTTAGCTAAAATGGCCTCCTGACGCCGCTTCTCTTTCTCCTATTGCAAAACAAAACACAAATTATGCACTGATTGTGAAATGGCATAGGTAATCTAGACTGACCTGTTGCTTCTTAAGCAATTCCTCTTGCTTAAGGCGATCTAGCTCCTCCTGACGCTTTTTGCGCTCCTATAAAAATATGTTTTTGCATAAGAAGACAATCTTCATAGGCCTTAAACTCTCAAAGTTACCTCGACGGCCTGCTGATTCTTGAGCTCTTTGTCCTTGCGCTGCTGCTCCAACTTGGAGTTCTTCTCCTGGCGTGCCTTCTCTTTGTTCCTGGCCAACTCCTCCTTCTGCAACTTCTTGGCATCACGCATCGCCTGCTGCTGCTTGGCGATCTCGATGCGCTGCTCCACGTTAAGTGTCTGGCGGGTGAAGACCTTTAGATCCTCTAGCCGCTTGGCCACATCCTCGTCCGTCATCCGTATGTACTCGCCATCGTTGGCGTACGGCGGTGGAGCGGGCTGCAGGAATGAGCCAACAATGGCTCGTGCAGAGAAACTAAAGTTCTCACGACTCAGATTCGATGGCTGCTGCTCCAGGATCTGTGGAGAGTTCAAGAATTTAGCTAGGTTTCTTGGAACTGAATGACGTTATGTGCACTGTTGCCAATTTGTTATGTTTACATACTGTGTGAACATAAAATAAATGTTATAATTTTTGTGACTTTATAGTCTATAAGTGTTCTTAGGAGTGGCTTTAAGATATTCAAAAAAGTTGCCCTACAAACTCACAGCAAAAACCTGTCCGTTGCTCTTCAGAGGCGCCGTGCTTCCCGGTGCATAGTAGGTGACCTCGCCACGGATCTGACCTTGCTTGGTCAGGCCACGGATCACAGTCTCCCGCTTCCAGCCCAATTCCAGTGGCACCCTTAGCTCCGCCACATTCAGGATGTTGGCATCCTCGCTCTCAGACTCCGAGAGTCCACTTTCGGCTGCCACGCTCTCGGAATCCGTGGAGGTCTCCATATGAGCATTGGCCTCGCTCAGCGCCAGGCGGATTTTCTCCTGGAAAAGCGAACATATAAAGTTAAAGGATATTCTATAGACTAAGTTTTAATGTACTCACAATATCAGCACCCTGCTGAAGAAGTTGCTGTGTGGCCAGCATGGGCTTTAGTCCCACAGCTCGGGATTGGGCCAACAACGAAGCAACCGTGTTCTTCTTGGGCTTGGATACACCGCGACCAAGGTTACGAGGTCTTCCCTCTTTGTAAGAGGATGATCCCCCACCGGATCCAGATCCCGAACCACCAGAGGCTCCTGTGCCGGCACCTGCCGGAGCTGGGGAGGTTCCTCCGCTGCCCGAAATGGATCCACCTGGCATGCCTCCAGTTCCTCCCAAAGCAGCTGTAATCGAGCTCAAGCTCTGCAGGCTATTCCCGCTTTGGCCACTGGCCACCGCCTGATAGTCACTGGCCAAATTGGCCATCGCTGCGCTGGAAGAGGAGGACGCCCCTCCTGCGGGAGTTGTAGAGCCACTGTTGCTCTTATCAGAGGGCTTCATGGATAGATTAAGTGGCGCATCAAAGTCATCGATTGTGATGGGATTGGAGGCTGAGCCCACGGCTCCGCTGGGTGTCAAGGCGCTTGCATTGTTCGCATTAGCCTTTAGGCTGAGATTCACACCTCCAGAAGTGGGAGCCAGATCGGTGGTGAGGTCGTGCACCTCTTTTCCCTTGCTTGAGAGGTTATACGCGCCGTTAGAAGTGATTGTTGGCGGCAGTTTGATCACCTCCACGCGATCACTGGAGCTCTGGTTGAGCAGGTTGCTCCCTGCTGAGGAGGAACTGGTACTGGTTGTGGCCGCCGTCGAGGAGCTGGCCTTGCTCACACTCAACTGATCGAGTGGATTGCCACTCATGCCCGGCAGACCGACCAGTCCAGCCATTCCAGGGATCCCGGCTGCCCCCAGCATCCCGTGGAGTTGCTGCTGCGCCTGGTGTTGCTGCTGGGCCTGCTGGTGTTGCTGTTGGGCGGCCGCGGCCATTGCCGCGTACTCCATTTCGAGTCTAGCCCGCTTCGCGGGACTGAGACCTGGAAATGCAAGTAGAGAGGAAATGGCATTTGTGGTGCTGTCGAGCTCTTTTTGTGCTTGTGCTTGTGCTTGTTGCTGTTGTTGGAGTAGGTGTTGTTCTGCTTGGTGTTGTTGTTTGTGTTGTTGTTGTGTTGTTTGCTGTTCAGTTTCGGAAATTGTCTTTTTGCGACCGCGCGAGGTAGTACCAGGTATCTTGGGTCCCACAATCGAGGACGTGTACTTGATTATCTCCGTGTCCGGTGGTAAACGAACTCCAAGAAGAGACGGGTGCTCACTACCAGTGCTGTTGAGGAATTGATACATTAAGTTCTGAAATAGCTTATAAAGCTTATAAATCATTAATTACCCCATCATGTAATCCTTGGCGCTGGACTTGCCCCCCGATCCCGACGTGGAACTGTTGCCGCCCATTTGTTGCTGCTGCTGCTGGGAGGAGTGATGCGGCGAGGAGGTTATCGTGGCGGAGGACGACACTCCGGAGCTGGCCGCAAAAGCATTCATTGCCGCCTGCATACTCTGTTGCGGCGTCATGCCCAAAGCTCCAAACTGCGACAGCGAGTTGAGCGCGTTTAGCGAGGGATTGTTTTTGTCACGATCCTTGCCGGATGACGAAGACGATGAGCCCATTCCCGCATGCGGCGACATTAGCGGATTGCTACTGGCCAGACTGGGATGCATTCCTCCTAGTGATGAATTGCTAGCGCTTACACTGGTTGAAGCCTTGCCACTGGACATCATGCCACCACTACCACCCATTCCCATTCCATGGCCGTGCATTGAGGAGGATGACGAGCCACCTCCGCCGGACTTCTTGCTGGAGGAACCGCTGGAACCCGAACCGGAAGCAGCGGCTGCCACGGCCTGCATGGCCAACAGCTCCTTGTGAAGGGTCACCGGATCGTAGGCGGAACCCGGATTGCTTGCCATGCTGCTGCTCGTCATGGTCGAGGGTTTTCCATAGGCGCTAGCCGTGCTCTAAAGGGTTAAATAAGAGAATTAATAGTATCAGAATATTCTTCCTTGATGGCAGAGCTCCCTAAAATTGTCCCATTTTACAAGCCGTCAGAAAAAGATCAGTCAAACTAGGAATCTACATTATACTCAAGAATCAAACTCATCTAAAAATTCTTCTGCTTTGTCAGAAATATTTTTTGGTAGGCAAACCACAAAATATAACTCTTTATCTATATACAATTTTAAAGCACACATAGACTGATCATGATCATTTTTGTTACATTGATCTTAGTCTGACAGGCTAGAGAATGTAAGTCTCACCTTGTAGCTCCCATGACCTCCACTATTGGTAGATATAGAACCACTGCCTGTGCTCACCGACGGAATGCTGGTGCCCGGCACTCCCACTCCGAATCCATGCATACTGGCCAGGGCAGCGGCGGGATGGTTGGCCGCTGCTGCTGCTGCCGCCGCAGCTGCTGCATTTAGACTGTTGGCCAGACTCTGCTGCTGTTGTTGTTGCTGCTGGGCAGCTCGCTTCTCCTTGCGCGACTTGTTCGACTTGCTACCGGAGGATCCAGATGAGGAGCCACCGCCACCGTTCCCACTTCCTCCATTTCCTCCGCCTCCGCCTTGGCCAAGGACACCTGCTCCTCCGCCTCCAGCACCCGCTCCTCCAGCTCCGCCACCCATTCCCATGCCAGCTGGTCCAAAGGCAGCCGCCAGATCGGGATGTGGGAAGGGGGAGAGGCCCGAGGCCTGCAGGCGGCTGAAGTAATCCTGGGCCGCTAGCTGGGCCATGGACCACCAGCCTGTAAATCGAGTAATGAGTGAGTTAGAAAGGGTTTTTTGGCTTAGAGTTAAATAAATGCTTTATTAATCTGCAACAAAGTGAATTACGGAGGAATGACTAATTTAAATTTGAAATTCTCTTCTTTTAAATAGAAAAACATTCTATAAAATTTAACTTTTCAATACAAATACATTACTTATTTCATGGCAATAGATTTGTATAATATAACTAATTCGAAGATATGAATTCAATTTATTTCTTCAATTTATGACCAACTTTAAACAAATATTAAATATTTTAAACATAATAAAATACATTACTAAATTTTTTTACAAAATTATTCTCTCAAATGTTCTTGCAAAAACTACACAAAAATAGACTTAAATACTTGTGCTTGACCATTTTTCACTGCCCTGCCCAGGGAAGAGCGTTTTGCGCAGTGTAAAGCGAACAACAAGCTACTAAATGCAATGCTCTGGGAGTATTTTCTTCAAACGCCTTGCACGATGAACAAGACATTTGCTGTTTTACTCCATATAATTTAGATAAAAGCTGTTTTCACCAAGCGGGAATCGAACTCGCGTGGATTTTTTATGATGATTCATGTGACGACGTTGCTTTAACGCTTTGCGCCAAAGCAGTCGCTAACTTCGTACCGTCACAAATTTCCTCTTGGGGTGCGCTACTAAAATACGGAATGTGCCGACATTTTACTCACTTGCTGGATGCAAACCGGCCAAACTGGCGGCCTGCGAGGCGGCCACTGCCATCGTATTCTGATGATGATGGGCTCCCGCCGCCGCAGCCGCTGCAGCTGCCATGGAATAGCGGTCATTGGCAGAAGCGCCTCCGGCCTGAGGCAGTAAACCCAATCCGGCAGCAGCGGCGGCATTGAACTGCGAGTTGAAGAGCGGATTGGATGCCGCTGCAGCCGCCGCTCCAGTGGGATCACGTCCCCAGTAAGCTGGATGTGGGAAAAGAAAAACATGTATTACACGAAGATCGTAATTCACGAATTTTAAGAGTTAGTACTTACCGAACAGGGAAGCTGCATCTAGGAGGCCGGTGGGGTCGTGCGGCCCCCCGGCTCCACCACCCCCTCCCGCATTCGAGTTTTTGTTTGAGTTTTTGCCATCGCTGCCATCGCCGGCATTTTTGTTCATGTTCAAATCCCCTAGATCTTAGGACCAACTATTGTGCGTAACATGCGTTTGGAGTCTGCAAGAAATGCGGAAAAATATAATTAATTAGGATAATAATTGTTATTTTGAGTAAACAAAGTTTAATATTTTAAAGACAAGTCTTGTTTATAAAAGTAGTTACAATATTTTAATATTATTCGATTCATGTTTGTGGTTTTCATTAACAAAGCACCATAAATACTATGGGTTTTAATCACTATTGTTTTAATTAAAAGAAAAATTATATTTGAACTAATGAAATACTTTATTTTCAATTTTATTAACAAAGAAACTGCTTTGAGTTCACAGATTTATTTTTTTTTAAATTATGCCCCATCACACAGAAAATTAAAAATATGTATGTATGGATTTCTTAACTAGACAATAACTCCATTTTAGTAAAAAGTATCTCAACTGTAATCACAACACTTGTAATCCCCTAGATACAGTTCATCAATTGGTTTCGATTTTAGCTTCTTTCGCTCTTCGCTATTACTCCACTCTCTGTGCTGGCAATGCCGCAACGCTTGGGCGAAACTCGAGCACAAAGCAGAATCGGCCGAAATATGGAAAGCAAAACAAAACTAAAAAAACTACACGCCAGCGAGAGGGACAAACACACGCACAAAACGGAAGCAGAAGCTGCTCTCTTTTACCACTACACCTGCACTTTATCGGCAGTGCGGCGAATTCAACGCGTAGCCGAATATTCGGCGAATTCAAAATTTACGCACAAGATTGCATTTTGTTAAACAATAGAAAAAAATCCCCCTCGAGGAAAAAACTTGAACTTTACAAGTCATGCGCAACATTTACCACTGCCGCTTATAAAAAAAAAAGAGGATAAGAAATGGAAAAGAACAGCCAAGACACCCGCACACACAGACACACGCAGACTGCAGGCGGCGACTGCGAAAACCAATGCATACACAAGGCGAAAAAATAAAAAAAATTCCGTTCACAGCATTTTGCACTTTTTACAAGCAGGGGGTTTCCGTTTTTGCATCACTTTAGCAAATTCATTCATAAAATTTGTAAAGTTGTCTGCTTTTGTTGCTTTATGGAGAATTAACAGACACTTTGTCTGCTGTTTTTTGGCTGTTAATGTGCTTGTTTTTATTACTTGCGCTGCGACAGCAGTTAACGGCATTTGTTTACACTGGCTATTGCATTTTCCGCGAATTAAATGTACAATTAACAAAAATATTTACAAGCGCCGCTCGGCGACGCGTCCGTCTGTGTTTGTGATTTCGCGGCGAATGAGCGTGTGGAGAGCGCGGAGAGTAGAAGAACCGCAAGCGGCGGCAGCGGCGGACCAGTGGAAATGGAACGCAAAAGGGAGAGTGCGGGCGGAGGACAGCGAGAGGCGAAGAGAGAGAGAGAGAGGAAAAGTGGTAGGGGGCCGCCTTACATTTGTTGTTGCCACGCACTGTGGTTGATAATTGCACTTTTCTTTTTGTCATTACTTATTATTATTATTAGTTTTAGCTGTATTAATCACTCTAATGAGCCAGCGTTTAGCCCGCTAAGGTGGGGCCCACTGTGGCTCGCTAATAACTGTAATTGCGCACTCTTTTTTTCCTGCTTTCTTTGGGTGCTATATTTTATTTTTTGTTGTTGTCACGCATCGGCAGGCGACAGATGTGCGCTCTTATCAGGGGGAGGGGGTGCTAGTAAAAGAGAGTGAGTGTGACCGAGAGAGGGGGAGTCTGCGAAAGAGCGCTGGCAATTTATAACAAGCAAGAAATAAAACAAACGGAACGGACAGAGCGACTTGGTACAGTGGTACTTGCTTGAGTGGACTTGGCCGAAACTAATTTAATAGATTTTAATTAATTAAATGAAAATACCTTTTTTAAAAGCGACTACTTTCATTTTCTGTCTTAATTTTAAACCTGAAAGATTGCTTTTATTCTGGTAAGCCGAAGGAGCACTGTAAAACTTTTAAACATTTGGCCACAGATCATTCAATTGTTATATTTTGCCTGAATGCGTCCGATTTATTTTCCAACAATCCCCTTTATTTTCTTTATGCTAGTTACATAAAATTGGTTTTAGCGGAAGTAGCACTGTAAAACTTTGCCTTTAGTCTACTTCTTCAACTTGGGCATTGCTTTTGGGTTCACCGCAAGTGAGAGGGGGAGGGGGGGGGGGGGGGGGGTGAAAGGTGGAGTAGAGGGAGCCGGCAATATGATTCGGGCATTTGTCTTTGACACTGCCACACTTCGCTGCCTCTGCCTCTGCCGCTGCTGCTGCCGACGTCGCGGGGGCGGCAGCGCAGTCGACATCGACGCAGGCGATTGGGAAGGTGTGTGCGTTTTTCTTGTTCTTCTTCTTGTTGTTTCTATTTCTTTTTGCACTGTGTGTATTTGTGTATTTGTGTGTGACTCGCCGCCTACCACCCCCTTCTCCTCTGCCCTCTCCTTCTACCACTCATTTCACATCAATATTTGTGAGTGACAGCAGCGAACAAATGTGAAATTCTTCTCATATTGTGCTGGCGTCACTCCACTTGGCCACCACCCCCCACCTCACCCATGCCACCCACCGACCCTGCTCCCCTCCCCCCTCCCCCTACCCCTGTGGAATACCCATTGTTGTTTGCTCTTGATTATCTTCTCTCTCTAGCTCAATTGGCCGACTGTGTCTGTCCATCGCTCATGAGTTGCCTTTATTTCTTTTTTATTTGCTGTTTTTTTTTTGCTTTTTTGTTGGGCTTTTTCGATTGTGTGTGCGTGTGTTTGACTTCGTGTTATATCTTTTACCCATACACAGGCAGATAGCGCCGCCGTTTCGTTTGATTTGCCATTAAAAAAAGTTTACGGCTGTTTTTTCTTTGGTCAATAAGCCTGAAAAGCTAATCAATTGCTGGAAAAACAAATGGATACGAAGTTCTCAAACTTAGATTGATCCCACAGTCTTATTTCATTCGCAGTAGCATCAAGTTTTTACATTTAAACACACTCATATAAAAAAAAACTTAATCTAGAGTATTTATATACACTAAAACATATGGCCTAATGCGAAAAAACCCCAGGTTATCATAAGTTTTAGATATTTATTTCCCATATTTCTATATTTTATCTAACTTCTCTAATGTATCTTTAAAATGTATCTTTTCGTATTTCCAATATTATTAATCTGACATCTACTTCAGGTTCAACTCAGCGAACTGGAACGGTAATTAATGATGATGAGTCAGTAGGTTTTACTATAGATTTCTGTTTAAAACTGCCGTAATTATTAGATCTGTGGGTCAAGTTTTTGGGTTCGATAGGTAGTTTATGTATCTTGATCCAAAACAAATAATTGAATGCATTTTTTAATCGTTTCCTTTGCTTTGGAATTCTTGAGATATGTGTTCGGTTCTTCTGACTTTCTGACTTAACTTCTGCTTCTGCGGATTCTTCTACTTCTGATTCTTATTCTTTTTATGCCCTATTGTTGTTGGCGGCTTTTTTATGCCCCATCCAGTGTGGGAATGTGTGCGACAGAGAGGGGACGAATGTGAGTGCTTCTGACTCTTCCTCGTTTTTTCTTCTTTTTTTTTCTTATAGAGCGAGTGAGGTTATTGACTCAAAAAGCAATATACCCCAGCCACTTTTTTAGCGTCCAACAAGCCTGCAGTCTGCGTCATCGTCTGGCGCGATCTTCAGTCTCGTTTCCCCTTCCCCTTCCCAGCTCTATCCCTTTCCCTTTCCCTCTTTCCAATGATTCTGCAACGCCTTCAGATCGAGTGCAGCAACAACAAGAATGCCACAACTTTAGCCGCAGCAACAAGTTCCAGTTCCTCTTCTTTTTCCATTTTTTTATTAATCAATTTAAGGCTCTGAATTGCTCTTATTATATCGAATTTTTAAAGCTCCTTCAAGCTATTTTATACCTAGAATATGTATCTTAAAGTCGTTTAAAGTCAGTTTCCTTCGCCACTTCAATATTAAAAAGTGCATCCTTATCCCCAAACTCACAATGGCAACTAACTAAACCTCTCTTCTTTTCTTTCTCCTTTCATTTTCATCATTTTCACTGGCATTTTCATTCTGCCTTTAAAACTCTTTATCTAGAAAATGCTTTCAATTTTCCCCCAACTTGAAATTGTGCAATTTAGCCGAAACGATATAAAATATGCATAACCGTTGAATTGTATCAAATTTTCCAATTAAACAATTTGCCACACAATTGATTTAATCGAGCTATTTTCTCGTCTTTTAAGTGGTCAACATTTTGTACAAAATAAAGCCTTTAAAGGCCGTTTACAAAGCCGATTGTATGTAAACATTTAATGACGTGATAAAAGTCTAGAGTTTCTATCTCTTTTGACGAGTAAGTACTTTTTGCTCGGTTTAAAGAGCAAATATAAAACTATAAATACATTTAGCAACTTTGCCAACCGGTTTGCAACAATTTAACTAATAATCAAGAGAGCAGTTTTGCTTGGTTGAACAAAAACAAGTAAACAAAACTAAGTTTATCAAAGGTTTTTGCAATTTGTTTGGACAGTTGTTGGGCTACTAAACTGTATTGCAAATGGAAAATTATCCTTAAGTAACTGTTAAATGATATAATAATTAAGTTTCTTGGAATTATATAAACAATCTTAACAGTTTTAGTAATATTTTGTGAGATGTACCAAGTTATACAAGGATATAACGAAATATTATGATTGGTACTTTATGTTGAATGTGTTTTCAGCAAAAACAAAAAAGATACAACAGGTAAGTTTCTTGAAATAATGTACATATTTAAAAAATGTTAACAGTTTTACTAATATTTTGGTAAAGGTTCCAAGTTATACATAGATATAACGAAATATTTTGATGGTACTTTTTGTATATCAAGGTTTTTTTGCATGCTAAAATAATAACATAATAAAAGGGCTGTGCTTTAAACAAAAACAATTTGTAGTTTTAATGAAAAATATTCAAGTAATTAATGCCCTTGCCCAAAGGCAGTAAATAATATTTTGGAAAAAACAGAGCCCACTGGAAATGAAACGAAAACCCAGCGCCGATTCTGTTATTCTTGTTTTGCACTTCT